TGGTCCCAGAGAGTTCACAAATAAAATGTTGGTGGATGCCATACTTACTGGAAACAACATATAATCTAAGATGACCTTATTTTACATTCTCAGTGTTTTATTTTCTCATTCAGAATAGCTAGTCACAATGGTCTACATTGCCCACTAGGGCTCTGTCCATATTTTCTACAGTTGGTAGTATCTTTCCATCAGTCAACGTATTGAACTTCTGCTGAAACCAGTAAGAGTTCTGTGTAAAAACTGGTGGTAAACTATAGTGTTTGAGTACATCTACACTGCAGCACTATTTCGGGATACATCCAATATCCCAAAATAACTTTTCTGCATCTTTGAAACAAGCCTGTTATTTCTTAAATTTAACGAGCTCTCTTTTCCAACGTCCCTGTAAACCTCGTTCCATGAGAATTAAGGGACATTTCGGAATAGCCGTTTATTTCCAAAATTGGTGCTGTGTAGACAGCACCTAATTACAAAAGAAGCTATTTTGAAATTAACTCAAAATAAGGTACTCAATTTGCATAGCTCAAATTACATAGCGTGTTTCAAGCTGAGGGTGCAGTGTAGACACACCCAAAGTGTCTACTGGTGCAGTAGCAGAGTATCTACAGATATTTTAAGGTCACTTGAAGGTTTTCTAAGCTCATAAATTCACACTTGCCACAACTTGTTAGGCTTTAAAGTAGTTGGAGGGTGGGGAAAAGTGGAGGATGAGAGCATTTGCTTAATTTATGTAATCCTGAATATACTTCCAGTGTACTGTAGAGGACCAAGATAACCTTTTACTGCAACAAAAAATTAAGAATGAAGAAAGTACATGTCAAAAAGAGTGTGTATAAAAGTCTAAAAAGAATGGGGAAAGAAGCTTGGAGAATTATAAACAGTTGTTGAGAAAGAGAAGTTACAGTGGATCACAAAATGAATATGAGCCAACAATGTGACACAGTTACACAAAAGGCTAATCTTCTGCAGGGATGTAGTCAGAGGATCATTGTAGGTCTTTGCTCAGCAGTGGGAAGGTTTTAGCTAGAGTTAGGTGACTACACTTTATTAAAGCTGTGGACAATTGGAGGGAGTGCAGAGGAGAACAAGCAAAAGGATAAAATGCTTAGAAAACCTGATGTCTCAGGAGATGTTGGAAAAAAAGGACGTGTTGTCTTGTGAGAAGAAAGCTGAGTGGGAAGCTGATAAGTCTCCACATGTGTTCTTTCAGGGGCACTGGAACAGAAGGCCATTCCATACCCCTTTTGGAAGAAGGAGGGCTGTGCCCTTTTGCTTTTCATCAGCCCTAAAGATAAGTGACTGGGGGTAAGGGAACTGGGAAAAGGTTGTATGGGAGCGGGACCTCAGGGAATGGGGAAGTGTGGGAGTTGGGGGATCCGGAGGAAAGGGCAATGCAAGAGTGGGGACTTCAGAGGGAGAAGGGATGATGCACTGGGGGTGGGGGAGTCCACTGTGTGGGTACTGGTGGCCCCTCTACTGTTAGGAAGCTTCCTCTTCCTCTACCCCTTTGTTATTGAATGTTATAAAGAGGACTCAGATCAACTGGAGGTAGGGCAAGAATTAATCAGTAAAATCTGTGACAAAAGAGATTCGGGTTAGATATGAGGAAAAACTTTCTAGCTCTAAGGATAGTTAAGAATTGTTTTAGGCTTCCAACAGAGAATTTTAATCACTATCAGTGGTTTTTAAGACCAATATCTGTAAAACATATTGTAGGTTTACTTGGTCCTGCCTCACAGCAATGGGATGAACTACATGACCTCTTGAGGTCTCTTTCAGCCCTCTATTTCTCACTGATTTTTTTTAAAGTGCAACTAAATTCTGAGGGTGATAATCTACTGTGCATTACTAACACCTGACGTATTTATTATAAAGGAACAGAGGGGCAGATCCTGTAAAGCAATTGCATTAGCTGAGGATCTGTTCCTTTCTTACACCTATATGTGTTTGCACTTAACTTCAGTTTTGTTTTTTTAGCAGCTTTTTCTTCACTTGGAAAATCATAAACTGATAAATTAAATTTGATTTCTCTGCTGGTGTAGTTATTTGAGAAACTATCAGGTACATTTGATAACGATTATATTCATTTGTATAATCTTTACTAGACACTTAGCTGCTACAGGAACTTACTATTCTACTCTGGATTTTTCTTTGCACATACCATAGCTTAAAACAAATATAGTGTATTGACTGTTGTAGCTGAACTCTGTTGCAATGGTCTATTTCTGTTAGTTTCATTTAAGTACCAATCTATCAACAAGTAAAAACATTTTTATGACATCCTGTGCTGTGTAAATGCACTAAAAGGTGACAGATATTGACTTTGTGGCCTGTGACACATTGAACAGTAATGTCAACTGAGCTAATGTTTTCTCATAGTGTTGTGTTTTTTGGTTTGTAGTATAGATATATGCTCCAGTGATTTCTTGATCTTTCCTGTCTGAGATTTTTAATGTTGATTACATACTCTAGTTATCTGTTGGAAACTCTGATTGGATTAAATTAATTACAGTAAATTACTAATCTTTTAAATGGGACTTGTTGAAATAAGAACCTCTGATGTTACCACAAAGGCTTAAATTCAGTCTATTACTATCGGGAGCCATCCATCTAACTTAAGTAAGAATGTTAAGTATCAGGTAATTGACTAATTGAATAGTCGATGCATTTTGCATCGACTACTTGATAAGTCAATAGGACGCCTCTGCCTTTGAAGCAACGCGCCACATGGAGCCCGGGGTCAGCTGGGGACTCTCCCACTGACTCCAGGCTCTATGAGGCGCTGCTGCGTTGAAACACTGCGTGCAGCCTGGGGACACCTCAGCTGACCCCGGACTGCATGCAGTTTTTCAAAGCAGCAGCACAATGTCGAGTTTGGGGTCTAGCCCCAGGCTTCAAGCACATTGCTGCTTTGAAGTATTCCTTCCTTCCCTGCCCCTTGCTGCCTCTATCAGATAGAGGCAGCAAGGGTTGGGGGGAACAACTAGTTGACTATCCTGTCTACTAGTCCTTCACATCCTTAAAGTTAAGCAACTTCAACTACATAAATATTATAGGTGATGTCGACATACTTAGACCTACTTCCCATGATGTCTTCACTGTGGTAAATTGACAACTGATGCTCTCCTGTCAATTCCACCCATGCATCTCTTTCTGGTGGAGTACGACAGTCAATGGGAGAGAGCTTGGCCGTCTATTTATTGTTTCTATATTAGGCATGATAAATTGATTCCCGCTTGATCAATCAATGCCTGTCAATCTGGTGAGGTAGTTTAGACAAGTCCTGGTTTATCAAAGCACGAATTTTACAAAGCAAAGTGCTAAAAGAAGAATAACACTATATTTGAATACAGTTCTCTTGTACTGTATAACAGTATTAAACTATTTATTATATGTTTTATTAGTCTGTTACTAACCCCAGTCTCTTGAGGAATCTTGCATCCATACAGAGCTGAGTCAATCACAGTTTAGATTTTTGGATTACATTTAATCTCCCAAACAGGATAATAATTTTAAAAAAATGAAACTAGCAGAAATGTTTTAATAAGTAGGATGTAATACTAATGAATCCAGATTAGGCTCTAATCCCACTATGGCACAAGAGCCTAGAAAAATATTGTGAATCGGTCTCAGGTGCTTACTATTGTAGAATCAAATACTTTATGTGTCAAACATGTTTCCATGATCCCTGCAATTTTCAAGCTTTCTACATGAAAGTGGATTAAAGCTCATTCACCTGAATCTACAGAGAATAACAACGGAATGCATTGCGCTCAGTAGGTGTATAGAGCTAAAAAATAGGCCAGATCCTTAAGTCTGGCCAGGCTGAATGGGGGCTCTTTTCTGAGACTCTGGGGCCATTCCTGAGACATAAATTTAAGCAGTTTAAAGGACCTAATCCTGGACATCTGCTCAGTATAGGGGTGTACTGGCCGCCACTCCTGACAACATCACCTGCACTGGCAGCAGGGAGGAATGCAGCTGTAGCTGTCTCTATGAGAGGACCAAATTAATGGATGCAATCTGCAAGTGGTGGGCATTATTACCACCTTCGAGTATTTTGAAATGTCATGTCCTCAAAAATCACAACATGGGTATAAAATCTTGAGTGAATTTTTTGTTTTTTTGGAGGGATGGGGATTGCCTTTTTGTTTTTAAATAAGTTTGAGGTTCATTTTATTTGCTTTTACATTTTGGATCCTTTAATGTTCATTTTCATTCTTTTCTCCACAACTACAAGAGCTAGAATTGTTTTAATGAGATTTTCCTGTAATCATTTGCATACAGAATCTGAGGCTTTAAGAAAATACTGTAGATCATGAGACTTTCAATAAAATTCATGAGAGCTCTCAAAACTACGTGTGGGGCAAAGGGATTGAACAGTACTAAATTTGTCTCAGCACCACAGTATTTCTTAGTGAGTAATACGCTGGACTGTTTTGTCTCCTGTAAGGTTTACCTGATTTGTGGTGGGTCAGGGATTCATTCAAAAGGATGTGGATGTTTATCCCAAAGTTCTGAACCTGCCTGATCTACATTATATTGCTATGTTGTGAAAAAAGATTTTCTTGTGAGATTTCCAGTATTCCTTGATTCAGCTGGGAGCATAATACAATTGGAATAGCACTTTATATGAATCTACGCTTCTGTTTTTTAAGTGAATTGAACGCAGGAGTCCAGAGAGAAGGGTTGACCAAGCTTTTAAAACTAACTTACATGAATCTAAAGAAGAGATTTAGATTTGTAATTTGGGCTACAATTCAGACATTCAAGTTTGTATTTGTTTTTCCTTTTGGTTGAGTGAGAAAGAGGCCGGCAGGAACATGTTCTCTCCATGTACATTTTAGGACTCTTTATCTTATTTTATTTTATTTTGGTTAAGATTATAGGAGATGTGCCCACCATTTGGAAGTTTTAAATCAAGTATAAATGGATCATCATTGTGATTCATGCTGCATGCCACTGACACATAACTCATATCTGGTGTCTCCTTATTCTAGGTTTCCAACCAAGAACATGGCTTCTGATGAAAGGGAGATAGTGGTTTGGGTATGCCAGGAGGAGAAGATTGTGTGTGGACTGACAAAGCATACCACCTGTGCTGAAGTGATCCAAGCTCTACTAGAGGAACATCAAGCTACATTTGGAGAAAAAAGGTTTCTTTTTGGACAGCCTAGTGATTATTGTATCATAGAAAAATGGAGAGGCTCTGAACGAGTCCTTCCTCCGCTGACAAAAATGCTGAGACTTTGGAAAGCCTGGGGAGAAGAGCAGCCCAATTTGCACTTTGTTCTGGTGAAGTCAGATGCTTTCCTTTCATTTCCATTGTGGAGAACAGCTGAAGCAAAAATAATACAAAACATAGGAAGACAATGGGAGCTCAGCCCAGCAAATTATATGAAGATGCTGCCAGTGGATAAGCAAAAGAGGATTGTTAGAAAGACTTTCCGGAAACTGGCCAAACTTAAACAGGACAATGCTCTGCAAGAGAGAGACAATATGGAAACATTGATTCATCTGATCATTTCCCAAGATCATACCATTCATCAGCAAGTCAACCGAATGAAGGAATTGGATATGGAAATTGAAAAATGTGAAGCCAAATTCCATCTAGCTCAAATAGAAAATGACGGAGAAAATTATGTGCAGGATTCTTATTTAATGGCCACTTCAAATGATGATGAGCAACAAACAAATGTGCCACATGGTCAACATCAGATGTATGACTATTTGAGCAAAAGTGATGGAATACTACAGTTCGAAGAAGGACTGAAACATCACAAACTACTAATTGAAAAGCTCTCTGCTGAAATAGAAAAAGAGGTAAAAGGTCTATGCACTGAAACAAATGAGGATGGCAAATTCATGCCAGAGGCTTTAAATGGCCAAATGGAACCCTCAAATTTAGAAAGTATCCAACAAGATTTGGAAAATAGTATGAAAGATGGCTTGAGAATTCATTCTCACTTGAGCTGCATTCAGAAAGAGGTTACCTACAGGGACTTGCTGCTGCAGAAGAAGGAAAAAGAATATGATCTCCTGGCAGAAGAATTTAATTCTCTGCATATCAAAGACAAAACTGAATCCAGATATCCAGCTTGTGAAGAACAAATGAAGGACAGTGAGGGGACCAGCAAGAGTGTCATGGTGCCAGACTTTGTTCATAAAGTGACTAATTTAGACATAAATGATACAGACTCTGACACTGGAATCAGCTCTACTCATAGTCAGGACTCTGAAACAGCTTTAGGAGACATGGTACTGTTGTCAACCTAGCTGGAGACCACCGTGCCCATGAGAGAGCAATGTAAAAACAACCACCTTTGGGCGAATATTTATCATTTCAAAACTTTAGCTATCATCAAGGATGTGTACACTGTGGCTGGAAGTGAGACTCCCAGCCTGCGTACACAAGACTTGCACTAGGTAGGGCTTGAGCTAGCTTGCCAAACCAGAAGCGTGGGATGTTGTGGCTTGGGCTATAGCCCAGACTTTGAAGCCTGTCTGACCCCCTGGGCTTGATAACCCGAGCTGCAGCCCAAATGACAACATTCATTGTTTAGTAGTGGGGCCCAAGCTAACATGCTAGTGCAGTCTACTCAGGCTGAGTGGTTGTATAGACATGCCCACAGCATCTCAGTCCTGAAGACATTGCCCACTCTGGCCACAATCCAACAGAGTACTTTATCATGTATCTGGCTATGAATACGGAGGACTATATTTGCTCAAACTAACACACATGCTATAGCAAATCAGTAATCACATATGCTTAGAGTTACACCAATACTAAAGCACTTAGCTGGATCGGGACCAGAGTGCACAGTGTTGTGTAAGACAGAGCTTCATTGAGACGAGTGCTCTGATGCGAGTGGCACAAACCAGATGTGAAAATTCCTGATGTGGAATCCCTTAATCTTTGGGTCCATTTCTACATCTGACCAGCCTTTTTGAAATGTGGATATAGGGGAAAGACCAATTAGACAAAGAGCTTGATTCTCTGCTCCATTACGCTATCTGTATTCAGCTGGTGTAACAAGATGTAGGTCAAGGCACAAACTCTGTTAAAATGTAGTTTTTATGATATTGTGGAGCAGGTAAAAAAGCAAATACTTATTGTGATATATATTTAAATTCCATTACCATAGATCACAAAGAGTAAAACTTTCTAAATAACTTAAGTGCCATTTTCAAAAGTGACGTAAGCACATAGGGGCATGTTTACATGGCAATTGAAAAACAATGTCTGGCCCATGTCAGCTAAAGGGCTGTTTAATTGTAATGTAGACATTCTGGTTTGGGCTCAGGCTTGAGCCATAATCTACACCACAATTAAGCACTTCCTTAGCTCATGCTCCATGATCCCAGGTCAGCTGACATTGGCTAGCTGAATTTGTTTAATTGCAGCATAAAAAGACTCTAGCAGTCTAAATTCCACTGACTTTCAGTAAGATGAAAGGTTGAAAGTTAATCTGGAATTAGGTAGGTGAAAATGTAAAGTCAATTGCTCCTAATTAACACCATGTTTGAAGTTTCTTATTCCAGAATGAAAACATCCACAGATGGAGTTAATCAGGAATAATTAAATAGGAATTGCTGTTTTGGAATAATGTCTTGTGGTAAACAAGCCATTAAGCTCTGAAGGCCCAGATATTACCAATTATTTAGCACCCAACTTCCACTGAAATTGGTGAGAATAAAGTACGGAATTCCTTTAAGGATCCCTGAGTCATTTTGAAATGGTTGAAAATTTACTCTGAAATCTGACTAAATGCATTCAATGGGATCCATGTATAGGGCAAGCTAAGCAACACAAAGTTCAGTCAGGTTATGAACTTCAAGTTTTAAATTTTTGAGGTGAAAAGACGATATTTAGATGTCATTGAAATTATGTTAGATTTATGCAATTTTTTACTCTCCTTATATTTTGGTGTTCGTGATGGTCCCCCCCAACCTCCCTTGAGTGACTGCCAGTCATCTGGTTCTCAAAATGACTACAACACTGTGGTAATAGCCTTGTAAATATGACTTGGAGAGCAATATTTCCTAAACACCACAAAGTGTTTGTTTTAAAGACTTCTGAACTCTGGACTTCATGAAGAGAGTTTGCGTTTTCAGATATGTGTCTTGGCTGCCTTAATGTATTTTATCACTCAACATTATATAGAATGCTTGGGTTGCTTCAAGAGTAACATGTGGAGCTCACATACATGAGTTCTTGATGGAAACTCAGATCTATTGCAAACAAAGTGTCTTTATTTTATCGTAATTTATTAACACAATTTGGCATCTTTTGTACTCTGGATGTCATGTACTGATATTAGACATTGCATGCACTTCTCAGTTCAGAGCTTTGAATGTTGAAAGTAGGCTAATGCATTTCCTGAGTTCTTGTGCAGTCAGAGATTGTCTACTATGTCAGCCTTTTTTATAAATACAGTTTCTAGCCTGTCTATTCCCATTGAAATTCTCTCCTGTGCAATGTCTTTAGGAGACTTGGAATCCTGTGGCACCTTAGAGTTTAATACATTTGTTAGGACATGAGCTTTTGGAGGTAAAACTTGTTTCATCCAGTGAATTGGAGTGGAAGTTACAGAAACAGGAGTGTGTATATAAAAAGAAGTTGCTTGTGTTAATGAAGCTAATCATAGGGGAAAGTGGGTCATTCACAGCATTTAGTCTGGAGATGTGAATATTCAGAGAGGGGATCCTTTGTAATTCATTAACCAGTTGAAATCCTTATTCAGTCCTAAGTTGAAATTGTTGAATTTGCAAATGAACTCCAGTTCAGCTGTCTCCTCTTGTAAGCGGTTTTTGAAATAATTTTGTAGATGGCTACTTTCAAATCCATTACTGAATGTCCAGGGAGGTTGTTTCCCCACAGGTTTATGTGCTTTACCATTCCTGGTGCCTGATTTGTGTCCATTTATGCTTTGAAATAGAGACGGTCTGGTTATGCCAATATACATGGTGTATGGGTGTGGGTGTGGCATTGCTGTCACTTGATGGCATAGATCACATCAGTGTATGGACAGGTGGATGAGTTCCTGATGGTGTGGCTTATATGAGGTTCATCCACCTGCACATTCATTATGTGATACGTGGGAACTGCAAAATATGTTCATTATGAATGTACTGCCTCTCCATAAGTCATATTTCTCTGGCACCCTTGAACTCTGATTTAATGACTCACAGGATTCCATTGGATGAACATTGCTTACTGAATAAGAGAAACATAAAAAAGTGCTGCATAATAGTGCAACAGTTTAGACTCAGAGGAAATTATCTGATTCAGAAAATAAAAGTATATGAGTTAGATTTGAATAAAAGGAAAGTCAGGGCATTTGGTTCAGGTAGAGGAAGGGAGAAGTGTTAGTTTGATGTCAGATAGATAGTTATCTATTGAGAATGGGAAGAATAAGCAGGTGAGTGGGCATAGCAGTGGTGCTGGCCCACTTCTCTTTGAGGTGGAATAATTTTGGATCCATGTATGACCCCAGGGAAAGACCCTCAGTTGTTATAAAATGATGTAGTGGAAGTCAGTGAAGAGACCTAGAATTTATATCAGATGAGAATTTGGTCCCGGAACTGTCAAGAGCTTCACTGAAGAATTCATTCTTCCATATATAAAATAACCACTGTAATCTTTTCCCAATGTATATTGGATATAATTTCATGTTTCTGCATGATTAAAGTGTAATTTTACAGATTTGATTTTCAAATCAAATATGTCAAAATGTAATTACTTGTTTCAGGTTCTTGACGACTCTTTCATTTAGAAGACAAATAAATACATAATTATCACTTGATTATGTAGAAGTGTACAATATTTGCCATTCATTTACATGGTTAATAATTACAGTTTAATTAATTGCACTATTATTGCATGATTGTCTGTATTTTGCAAAACCCAAGAAATGTTATCACTTCAAAACTAAGGGCCAAATTTGATTCTCTGATCTGAGTGCATAAAATAAGTGAAATGGGGAATTGTCTTCTGTATTAATCCTATCTGTCTGTCTATCCACTTCCATGGATGATTGATATTCAAATGTTATATGGTATGGCAAAATGCCTAGTCATATTCTACACTTAGTAATATTTCATTAGCTTTACTTAGTCTACATTATCTATCTTCAATGTATGTCATCTTGTCTATATTGGACCATCATCTTAATATGGAAAGTAGACAGCAGGAAAATGGAAACCCCTGACTTCCCCCCACCCCCTTTAAAATAATCACATTTTTAAAAATAATTTCGTTGCTGAACCAGTAAAAAATGTCAAGAACATGACATTTTTCAAGAAGGGTCTTCAAGATAAATGTCAGTTTCAGGTACACTGAAACAGATTCTTTTTTGGCTTCCTAGTTGCCTGAAGGGAAGATCTTGTCAAAGTTACAAGTAACATTGACAAGAGCCTGAAGTCTGGCTGCTGTGACTCCAAATCTTCCTACCTATGCTACAGTTCAGAGAAGCATAGACAGGCTATTCTAGACTCTCTCCCTTGCTTCCAGCTCTGCCAGCTTCCTACCTTTCCCTTCTTGGAATTTGTGAGGAGGTCAGGAACGGGCTGCTCACTAGGAAAGTTAAAAGTCTTCTAGGAAGGCAGCCAGAGACCCTGATGGAAAATTAGTGTTGGGGTGTTTTGTCAAAACAGATCAATGTTTGTAAGGAAATCATTCCATTTTTTAAAAATTGACCAGCTACAATGGAAAGAAAGCATTCTAACTAATTCACTCATTTAGAGAGTAGTCTGAATGATGTCAGTGATTTTACTTACTGATTTAGGAAGGATGAAATATTTTGAGTAGCAGCTGTTGTAGGATGTAGGCATTCTTTGCATAAATAGATAATTTGGAGGAATGAATGGACACCTGAATATTAGCACTCCCTTGAAAGCAAAGAGCAAGAATTAGTTTTTCTTCTCTCCCATTCTCATCCAACACTTAAGAAAAATATGCTGATCACATTAAATCTCAATTTTTCCATTCATTAAATTAAGCAAATCTTTACATATTTTATTGTTCTATTCAATTAAATGATGTTGCCAGTGCAAATACTTTTCACATGAAATAATTTAAAAACTGAATATATTGTTAAGAGCAGAATTCTAATTGCCTTCTAATTGCTTTACTTTTAAAGTTGCATTAGGCCAGCAATTCTCAAATTGTGGGGAAGGATTCCCCAAGGAATATATCAAGGAAGGCATGAGCTGTATGCCCCCCCATCAGAGCTCTGGCTGTCAGCCACAGAGTGCTATCTCAGAGCAATCCCTCACTGGGAGATGGCAGAGCTATTGTAAGTGTGGCAATAGGGTACTAGATCAACTGTGATTTTTCATGTTGCCACCCATACTTCTGCTGGTGCAACAATTGCTTCAGAGCTGGGTGGCTGGCTGTCAGCCACTGCTCTTTGCTCTGCCTTCAGAACTGGGCAGTTCTATACTTTTATGTGCTTATGGGGGAGCACGTAAATGACTACCAACACAAAGAAGGTGGACACAATCAAACACATTTGAGAACCACTGTATTGGACCATTCCTTTCTTCCTGAATTGTGGTTGAATTAACCTACTCAAAAATATATGATCTCTTCAAGTTATAGCAGTTGTATAATGATTCAATATATATTTTCTTTTCCTTCACTCATGTTGCTTATTTTTCTGAGTACAGGCAGTCCCTGGGTTACATGGATCTGACTTACATCGGATCCCTACTTACAAACGGGGTGAGGCAACCCTGCACTAGCTGCTTCCCCCCAGCAGACCAGGGAGATGCGGAGCGGCTTTTCTCAGCAGACACCTCAACTTGAGAATAAAGAACTGAGGCAAGTGAGGTGTGAGAGAATAAAACTGAGCTCTGGAGAAATGTTTGGCTAGAGTTTCCCCTACAATATGTACCAGTTCTGACTTACATACAAGTTCAACTTAAGAACAAACCTACAGTCCCTATCTTGTACGTAACCCAGGGACTGCCTGTACCTTGGTGGTAAATTTGAGAGCCTACCACATTATTTGACATTTTAGCACATAACAAAATAACAGACTACCCAGTATAGTCCCTGGGCTCCGTCGGGAAATACAGGACTAATCTGATTACATTATCAGGGTCTTTATTGTAAAATCAAGTTTTCCTGTGGAATCAATGAAAAAAAATCCTTTTTTCTATAATACATATTTAAATGTTTAAAGGACACTTTTTTTTCTACTTTAAAATACTGCCTCCATGAGAGTTGGATTCTGGCCTGGGCAATGGGACCACACCACGGAGTATTGGAAAGTTGTCCAGGAATACACTACAGTGAAATAAATCTTGAAGCTCTTACTCAAGGAAAGTTTACCTTGACTTGTTAGGGAGTTTTGTCAAGAGTAGAATATAGCCATGTGGAATAAGAGAGTATTGTGTTATTCTAACAGTTGACTTTCATGTAGCACATGAATTTAGATACTAAGTCCTCATATGCTGACTTGTCTTCAATTTGAGTTGCTGAGTACACAGCATCTCTGAAAAATCACCCTAATATGTCTCAGCCCTGTCCCATTGGAAACAGTGAGACTGGCTATTGGTTTCAGTGGAAATTGGATCTGGTCTGTAATGCTATACAGACTTAAATGTCTGTTCCTGCAAACTATTCCAATTAAGGTAATAGCAAGCACATGCTTAAGTTTAAGTAGGCACTAAATATTTTGATGAGCTGATGATTTTGTACAGAAATCTTATATTACATCTCTTTAGTAAATGACTATGAAAGTCAGAATTGTATACAAGGGATGCTAATATACCAGAATAAAAATAAGGTCTAGAAAACCTGACTAGAACTCATATATATTTTATACCTTCAAATTTACTTGGATTTTTTTATTTTCGCAAAGACACTCAACACTGACTCCAAATCCATTTTCCAAAGGCATATGCAATTGAAGAGCTTCACAAAATGCAGAATGTATATGCTGTGTCTGCTGAATTCCACATATGGGTGTGAAAAAGTAGTCTTTCTGCATGTAAATGCACGCTTTTGCTTGTGTAATCAGTGTATACACATTTGGCCTGACTCACATTTTCCTTGTGCATTTGAAAATTTGGCTTATAACATTTATCCCCTTCACTGACTAATTTCTGAAGAATTAGTCTTTTGGAAATTAAACAATCCTTTTTGAGAAAATAATAATCCTGATGGTCACTTACTTCTCTCCAGTCCATTAATTAAGTTTTCTAGGGCAACAAGAAAATAATAATCCTGATGGTCACTTGTTTCTCTCCAGTCCATTAATTAAGTTTTCTAGGGCAAAATAGTCTTGGATCATTACGTAGTTAAAAAGTCCAGTGTCATTTTGATTCTGATTGTTTTCATTCAGAAGTATTAAATGCAAAGACAACTTGGATCACAAATTCACTTTTTGTTGTCGAGTTGCAAAATTTTGTAAAAACAAAATTGAATTGCCCTACAATGTAGAACTTTAGACACCACATAATGTCTGCTGCTCAGTTCTAGACTATACGTAGAGCCCTACATGGATCAACTCCCAAAAAACACTGCAAACAATGGAGAGGAGTATGGTCCTGTCATACCCAGGAGCCAGTGCCCTGCACCAGCAGTTCCTGCAAGAAGCACAGCTGCACCACCCCCAACCTCACCCCTGGCATCTCCTGTCTGGGATTGTACTGCCTTGCTTGTGGTGGGGCTGAGGGCAGTGCAGCCGTGCTTCCAAGAGGAGCTGCTGGCACGGAGTGATGGCTCCTGGGCGCAATGGAAAAAGGTGAACATTTCTATCCATGTACGATTCTAACCATAACTGTCAAAAGACAGGTACAAGCCCGAAGAAATAGTTCGCCCTGCCTCCCTATATGATAGAACTTCAGAGCTATGACCACCAGAATCACATTCTGACCAGTCAACCACACACCTAACTTAGACCTGGAAGTACACAATCAGGCAGCAGCAGGGAGTGGGGAAAAGCAAATGCAGTACTGTGTTAAATTTAAATTATTAAAAAGCAGTGTTCTCCTGCATAGCAAAGTTTCAAAACTATATTAAGGCAAGGCTCAGTTGTGAACTTTTGAAAGAACACCCAACATGTTTTTTTCAGAGTTGCAAACAATCGCCATTCCCAAGGTATTCATAACTCTGAGGTTCTACAGCAGGGGGTGGGGAACCTTTTTCAGGTTGGGGGCTGCTGAAAAATTAGTTAGGCGGGGGACAACAGGGGCTGGAGCATCAGCACAAGCTCCCCAATGTTGGGTGGAAGGAACCTTGAGTTCTGGGGATCAGATCCAGGCAAGTTGGGGACCACATCTGGCCCCTGGACCTAAGGGTCCCCAACCTTGTTCTTCTGTATCTGGCACTCTAGTTACACATCTCAGTTTTTTACTTCATGAAACCAACATTATCTTGTCATACAAGCCCAGGAGAAGCCTGGACTCTTCTGAGGAGATATTAGATGTTGTGAGTGACAAATTCTTCTGAATAGAATCTACAATGTCCTATACTTTTCAATGGCCTGAATGTGTCTAGATCATGTGGACATGAATTGCATGTGAGCTGTTCACCCACCATCTAATTTGATCCCAATTCTCCTTTTTTTACTTCAAATATCTATCAGCCACGTGTTTGAGGTTCCATGCAACATCCTTTGATTTCAGTCACTTCCTAGCTCTGAATGAGCTAGCACCTGACCATACAGAAGCTTCTTTCAGTGCTTCCTTCAGAGAATAGTTTATTAATCAAAACAAAAAAAATGCAAAGTAACAAACTAAAGCTGTTCCATTGACCATTGCAGGACCCAGAAGATTCAGATTCTGTATGTCTGTCTTTTTTATAGGTCTAGTCACAGTAGCCTTGGAGGCTACTAGATTGTGTGCTCCAGCTCCAGGGGGAAGCCTCAAGACTCAGGGGCTGGATCCATGCAAGTTGAGGGCGACATCTGTCCCCCCAGGCCTTAGGTTCCCCATCCCTGCTTTATAAGGAATACTGGAACCCACCCAGCTGAGCCTCTTAAAGGGATAGCTACCCATGTTGCTCCTGGCCCTGAAGTGTGTGTCTACACAGCTCCAGGAATTAAGCCTTCTACCTCCATCTGTTAGATTCAGGCTAGCAGGGCTCATACTAAGGCTCTAAAAATAGCTGTCGGGATAGTGGTTTGAAGTTGCTAATTGGGCTAAAGTTCAGGCCCCCCATAAATTTCATTCCAGGAAAGAGAGAGAGAGAACCCAAATGAAATGCAGAAAGCTTGACAATTTGACCCATTTCCTGAGCATAAGTTGGTTCAGGTTTTGGGATCACACCCAATCAGCACAGTATTTCCAAATTTATTTTGAATCAATTTGTAATCAGACACAACTA